TAAATATAAGGCTACACATGATTTTAGTAGTAATGATAATATGAATTTTGTTTTACCAAAGTTATATATTACACATATAAAAAAACCTAAAATGTGTGTATGGATTTTATAATTAAAAAAAATTATTAAAAATCAACTGACGTAATAATATGTTAAGGAAAAAAATCTTTAAATTATTTTTAAAAGTTATATATTCTATGAAATATGAAAAGTTTTTTCTTACTAAAAAGTTTGTAGTTAAAAAAAAAAAATCTTACATTCAACCACACATTACAATAACAAACGTTTAAGAAATCGTATCTTAAAATCTCAACTATTTTTCTACAATGAACAAAAACCAAAATATATATAAGCTTACCAGACGAAGATAAATAACAAAAAAAATACATAAAACTATTTTAAAAAGAACTACAGGTCTCTTCAACTCTGACTAGCAAAATATTAATCAAAGTTGAAGAAGAAAACCTACACCTTACTGATGAAGAGATAAGTTTTCTCATTCATCGATTGAAAAGAATGTAAACAAGAAGCAAACAAGATGTTGTTCAGTATATTCCATATGTCACATTACTAAAGAAATTGTGAACTGCTAAGTATAAGATAATAACAAAGAGACATTGTGAAGACATATGAAAACCAACTATGATTCATAATTCATACTACTATAACGATAAATTAGAAAATGACTGATAAATTTTATCTGCAAATTCGTTATCGATTATTTCGATAACATAATTTATCTAATGGCCTAATATATGTACATAACAAAATTTTAAACAAATAAATTTTAAATGATAACTATGATATTTTCATGCTTCTTTAAAACTAATTCAAAACATTTATTTATTTGATTTCAAATCAAATWTTATTTTCTATATCAAAGATTTAATTYTTTTTATCATAACATAAATACTAAATCCARAWATAAATAATTATTAAACTGAATAAAAGTATAACAAAATCTCGCGCGAATCCGCGGATCAGATTCTAGTATAATCACATTAGAAACTCTTAAGACAGTGGTTGGTCATAATGTTTTATTCTTGTACAGCGTTACAAATATAAAAAAAAAATCAAATTATTATACGTCGAGTATTACGAATTTTCGTTTAATCTACTAATTATTATCGACTATGAAAGACCAAACTACACCATACCGCGGTTCTTGGTTCGTAACATTAATCAGATCACACAATGAGTTAATTATTTTCACTAATTTCCTTTATACCATGTGTTTAGAAATAGATTTTTTGTTTCTTCTTGTAAATCTATTAAACAAAAAACACCCAAACTAACCCGTCATAGTTCTTTTTCTTTCTCCTGTCAATATTTTCGCAAACCATACCAAAAGTCATAATCATACAAGATCTACATGAATGTACATCGCTGAGGTTCAATTGATATCTATCCTAGACCACTCTAAATAACGTCTAAGAGAATTGTGCTGTATAAACTACGCAATTGGTAAGTAGAACCTTAATATTGAGAGTTTTATACTACACCCATTTCACATGGCCACAAGCTGTTTTTCCTTGCATGTAAAGTTCCCAAACAAGACGCCAAAGCATAATGTAAGTGTTTTTTTTTCAACCATAAAATTTGTTTTAGAATGGGTCAATTTGGCAAGTGACCATATTGAGCTTTACTATTAAGAACCACGTACATTTTGGGCAACTAACCATGTGGTTGACGATGATGTTGTCCGTAATGGAACATTACGTCACACTATGTGGTTGAACCTACGCAGTATGTCCATGTAACACACTACACTTTAGGCAGTTTGGATCACTCTTTACTTTCAACGCGGACCTCCTAATTTTGGGGTGGGGTGGTGAGAACTTCTCGACCTCCTCCTTATTATCTTCTACTGTGAACG